CCAGGGAAGCCCAGAAGGCCCCAGGTGAAGACCGGGGCTGTCCCCAGGGCTGGGGGCACACGCTCCCTGCTGTGCCTCTGCAGTTCTTCCTCCACCCTCCCTGCCGTAGAAGGCAGGCCCCGGGCTCCTTGGCCTCTGGGGTTCAGGCCCCAGCTTGTGGGGATCCCTGGGATCTGTTCCACCTGGCCCCCAGTTCCTGGGACAGGCCTCACCCCTGCCACGTTGTGCCCCTGCAGCAACGGGATCCTCTACCAGTATCCCGACCGCACTGATGTCACCCCCCTGCTCTCAGTGAACATGGGGTGAGTGTCCTGGGCAATGGGAGGTGCCGGGCAGGTGTCGGGGCCTGTGTCACTGCCTGAAGGTCAAGGCTCCGGCTGGGCCTGAGCCTCGGGGCTCCCATCCTCCCTGTCTTGAACTGGCTCTCCCTCCTGTCAGTTCAGCACCCCCCTCGGCCCCACCCCCATTTAGTGCCCTGGGGTCTGCTGAGCTCTGGGTGAACAGGGAGAGGGTGGGGAAGCAAGAGGAGCTTCCTGCCCGGAAAGGATCCCAGCAGGTAGGGGAGGCGTCCCCCGATCTGATAGGGGAGGCAGTCCTTTCCCTGGGAAGTGCTTGACCTGATGGGGAGGATGGACACACACACACACACACACACGCACGCACACACGCACGCACACACGCACGCATGTGCGCGCTTGGAGGAAACATCCGGCCCGTAAGGGGAACAGGAATGAATGTGCACTGATTCTGAGGGCGGGAGCCAGGAGCTGATTCTCAGCCCCTCACCTGGCCCTGCTCAGGTATCTAGATGAACCTTGGTGATTGTGGATAAAAGGTGTTACACAGAAAAGGGGCAGGGCTGCCCAGCAGCTTTGCGCCTCTCCTTCGAGCCGGCGGGCTCTGGCCCACCTTCTGGTGTCCTCCAGCCCTCGGGACTCCGGGGCAGGCCAACCCCAGGGGCTCTGCCCGTGCCCCTCGCCCCCCTGCCCCCTTGCTCCCTTGCTCCCATTTCACCCTCCACCTCTGGCCCAGGGGGGAGCAGTGCGGTGGCTGTCGGAGATCCAGCACCACGGACCGGCCCCACGCCTTCCAGGTCATCCTCGCCGACCGGCCCTGCCTGGAGCTGAGCGCCGGCAGCGAGGCTGAGATGGCTGACTGGATGCAGCACCTCTGCCAGGCCGTGTCCAAAGGGGTGAGGGCCTCCTGCCCCACCGCTCACCACCTCCCAACCCCACCCCGGGTCCCCAGGGTCCCTTCCCCAAGCCCATGCGAGTCATGCAGCGGCCTCTGAGGACCAAGACGGGACTTGCAGGGGCCAGCCCAGGAGTGAACCCTGGAGGTTAGGGCCGCCTGTGGCCTGACATTCCCACCATCACCCCTGTCGGCCCCTGTACTCCTGGCCTCTGGAGGGAGGGGCAGAGGGGCTGGCAGGCCCCTGACGCGGGGAGCCCTGGTGCAGACCAGCCCTGGAGAGCTCCAGCTTGCCTCTCCCCTCCGCTCTGCTGGCGCCCTTCAGGTCATCCCCCAGGGGGTAACTCCCATCCCCTGCTGCCTGGTGGTCACGGATGGCCGCCTCTTCACGTGCCACGAGGACTGCCAGACCAGCTTCTTCCGCTCCCTGGGCACCGCCCAGCTGGCCGACATCAGCACCGTCTCCACTGAACCGGGCAAGGAGTACTGTGTCTTGGTGAGCCGGGTGGGGGGCGATGGAGGCAGGCCCTGCCGGAGGAGCGCTGTGTCTGCTCACCTGGGGCCCCCGCTCTCCCCAGGAGTTTTCCCAGGACAGCCAGCAGCCCCTCCCACCCTGGGTCATTTACCTGAGCTGCACATCTGAACTGGACCGATTCCTGTCTGCACTGAACTCCGGGTGGAAAACCATCTACCAGGTACCCAGCTGCCCAGGCCCCTGCGGAGTGGAGCCATTCCCTAGGGAAAGGAGCCCCTGCACGGCACAGACCGAGGCAGGAGTTGGAGGCCTGGGGCAGCACCATACTAGGAGCTCTGGGATGGACATGAACGTGTAAAACCAAAGGGGCAAGACCCTGCCTCCCAGTGAGTGTGAGACTAAAGCTAAGCATAGAGCCCAGGAAACGCCGTTCCTGCCCTTCTCAGTTCCCATGAAAAAGCCGGCATTAACTGCTTACGGTGGGGCTAGAGCTGCGCCCGGATGATGGGGGCACGGAGCTCAGCACCGTGCTGAGAGGGCCTCATCGAATGCCTGGACAGATCGCAGTCTGAGCGCGTGCTGGGCTGCCCCGCGGAAGCTCCGGACCAGCCCTGGGCGGAGTTCCACGGCCCGCCTCCCGGCCCCACCCCCAGCCCCCTCCTCCGAGAACCGGGGCCTTCCCTGGAAGGAGGCGGCTCAGGGAGCCGCACCCCGTCGGCCTGAGCCCCTCCTTGAGGAGCAGGAGATCTCAGCAGCGTGGATGTAGTTCCAGGGCAAGGTTACACCTGGTGCGGGGGAACCCCACGGCCCCTCGGCTCCCTGGGGGCTCTCGGTACAGCCCTCAGTTTCCCTGCACGCCCCACACAGGTGGACCTCCCCCGTAAGGCCATCCAGGAAGCCTCCAACAAGAAGTTCGAGGACGCCCTGAGCCTCATCCACAGCGCCTGGCAGCGGAGCGACAGCCTGTGCCGGGGCAGAGCCTTCCGGGACCCCTGGTGCTGAGGCGGAGCTGGTTGGCGTCCTGGAGGGGCCGGAGAGGGAGGCACGCGAGCGGCTGCCGGGGCCAGGCTCCCACCCTCGTTCCCGGGCAGCAGAACCACCGACTGAGGCTTGAGACACGGTCTCCTTCCCAGGGATCCAGAACGGGTGCTCAGCACCCTGGGCCTCCTGCCCGGCAGGTGGCAACTGGGAAGTGCTGGGGGCAGAGGGTCCGAGCCCTATGGGCTCTGCAGATGCACGGCCCCCTTCCCCGGGGCCACCGCCTCACTCCACGAGGGGAGCAGGACTCAGAGGGCAGGAGCCCCTCTTCCTCCCCTGGGTCAGGGGCCCGGGCAGAGGCTTAGGCCGCCCTGGGGGCTCTGAGTGCCCGGCCATCCCTGTTCATGTTTGAACATTCACCCGGCTGGGAGGGAAGCTGGAACACCGCGGTCTCAGTGCATGTCTTCTCCTCACTAGCTCCATCCCCAAGCACACTGCTCCCTACCTTCCAGGGCCCGGGGGGTTGCAGGGGGCCGGGATGGCCCTCCCTGGCTACCAGGAGGCCCTGCATGTCCACGGCCCCCTACCTCCCCTCCTCCAAACCTGGCAGTGCCTGTAGGACCCAGGGATCAGGCCATCTCCTTTTTGCCAGGAGCAAAGGGGAGGGAGGAGGGCTTGGAGAGGAGCAAAGCCCACCAGCCTGTGTCCCCTGCCTGGCTGGAGCCAGGTCCTTCCCAAGAGGGCCCTCTGGGGGAAGGGGTCAGGTGGCCTGGGTTTTGTTTTTTAAAATAAAATAGACATGTTATATTGCCAAGACTCGTCACTGGCCCTTTTTGACCATGGTGGAGGTGAGGGATCTTCGGCACCTCCTCTCAGGCCACTCGGCCCTTCGTTCCTCATTCATTCCACAAATGCTCTTCCGTCAGATGCTCTGTGCCCACACCGGGATCCAGATCACTGGCGGCTGCCCCCCAGCACTCACTGTGTGGAGGAGTTCGGGCCCTGGGAGCTTCTTGGCCGGACCTTTGCCCTCCTTCCTGTTTCCTGCAGTGGCCAGGGGAGGGCAGCCACCAGCTCGAGTCCCAGGCCGTGGCTACACTGCCAGGGCAGGGCACTCCTGCCTGTCCTGCCTCCCCCAGCTCTGGGGGCTGAGTGCCGGCCACTCGGGATCAACCCGGGAGAATCCAGGCTGTCCCCAAGACCTCTTGTTGAGCTGCTACCCCGGGGCTGGCCGGAGGGTGCCCAGCCTGCCAGGCCTAGGAGGAGCTCTGCAGCCCTCAAGCCCCTCAGCACTGCGGCCTCCAGGGCCTCACAGCTGGGAGGAAAGGGGTGGACACCTGGAAGAAGCAGGTGTGGAGGCCACAGAGGTGGGGTTCTGGGCAGGGCGGCCCTGCCTCTGGTTCTGATTGGGACTTGGGTGATGCAGGGTGGCCCTGGCAGGAGAGAGGTACCATGGGGCCGAGGCCGAGGTGGGCAAGGTGGTGCCGGCCCCCGACCTGAGCAGCCTGGCACCTGACAGTAGTGCCCAGGGCTGGGAGGTCCCTCTTCATCAGGCACAAAGGTCCATTCCCATGCCTGGGCCTCTGCTCCAGAGAACCACAGCCCAGGAGCAGCTCCCACCAAGAGGAGAGGCAGGACTAGGGGGCAAGTCCTTACCAGGTGAGCGACCAAAGCTGCAAGGTCACTCCTTGAGATACAGTGGCCCTTATTTTTCCATCTCCTACCCACCCAGGGCCCCCAGGCAGGGGGGGATGTGGGCCGCCTATTACTGAGGGAAGCACTGTGCTCGGCGTTCTTCACACATCTGTAATCCTCCAAAGAACCTCTGCAGTGGGCATCCGTATCCCCATCTTACAGATGGAGAGACCGAAGCGCAGAGAAAGGAACTGACTGGCCCAGGGCACACATAATAGCAGCTCCTGGGATTCCAGATCAGTTCCACACGACTCCGGAGCCCTCTGCTCTCACTGGTAGCGGGACCACAGACCGTGGGAGCCAGACTGGAAGACTGAGGCCGGGAAAGGGGATGGCACACAGCGGCAGGGGGGCGGGGCGGGGGGGGGCGTTGCTGAGGTGCTGAGAGGAGCCTCCCAAGCATCTGCCTCTTGCCCAGGGCCCTGAGCTACGGCGGGACTGGGCCAGCCCGAGGGAGGGCAGCGGCACCAGCCCTTTGCCCAGGGCCAGAGGGAAGGCTGGAGGACCAGAGGGTCAGGAGGAGGTGTCTTGGCTGATTGGCACTTTCTGCCCCACACCCCCCCCCCCCCCCCCCCCACCCCCGTGTCTCCCTTGGGGCCCAGGTGACCTTTCCCCGAGATCCCAGGGTCCAGGCCCTCCCCGGCAGGGAGGTGTGGGGGACGTAGGAAGCCGGGATTGGTCCAGAGCCGGCGGGGGCGTGTCCCAGGCTCCCAGGAAGGAGCAGAGTAGGTGGACTCCTGAGATAGAGCAGGCCGCCTGGCAGCGCCGGCCTCTCTGACCCGGACTTCTGCCCTCCGGACATGGCCCCAGGCTCCCTCGATCCCCAGCCCTGTGGCCCTGTGGGAGTGAAGACAGCCTAAGCACCGCCACCCCAGGGCCCGTGCCCATGCCCCTGACACGGGCACAGCCGGCCCCTGGCCCGGAGGCCAAGGAGACGGTGGCTCCAGCTGTGGACCTGGTGCTGGGCGCCTCAGCCTGTTGCCTGGCCTGTGTCTTCACCAACCCCCTGGAGGTGGTGAAGACGCGGCTGCAGCTGCAGGGGGAGCTGCAGGCCCGGGGCACCTATCCTCGGCACTACCGGGGCTTTGTGGCCTCCGTCGTCGCTGTGGCCCGTGCAGATGGGCTGTGCGGCCTGCAGAAGGGGCTGGCTGCCGGCCTCCTCTACCAGGGCCTCATGAACGGCGTCCGCTTCTACTGCTACAGCCTGGCATGCCAGGCCGGGCTCGCCCAGCAGCCGGGTGGCACCGTGGTCGCGGGCGCTGTGGCAGGGGCACTGGGAGCCTTCGTGGGGAGCCCTGCTTACCTGGTGAGTGCCTTGTCTCCATCTGCTCCCACCCTGGGACCCAGCTCCCATGGGGGCTCTGCAGCCTCCTGGGCTGGCCTCCGTGGAGCAGATGGGGTGGGGCTGCTCCCCTGGACATCCCTGCCCAGGCCTGGAATCTGCCCCTTGGTCCAGGGCACCAGGGCCTCGCCCTGAACCTTGCTCCCCTGGGGCCCCCGCCCCACTGGTCCTGAGCTGGGGGACGGGGCAGAGGGTGGCAAGAGGTGTGCTAGCTCAGGGCCACGTGGTCACTTGTCTTCCTGCATGCCCTGTGCAAATTAAGCATAAAGCTTCCATCGAGAGAGGGCCCCACATCCTAGCCTGGATGCTACAGTCATCATCTCTCTTGGTCCCCAGAGCAGCCTTCCAAGGGTGAGCAGACAGGCGGAGAGAAGGTTAAGTAACTTGTCCCAGGTCACAACCAGATGCAGACCCAAGCCGACTCCAGAGCCTCACCTCCAACCCTATTCCACACACACACACACACCCAAAGCTGCAGGTGTGGGCTCAGGGAGGTCTGGGTGTCAGGGCCCGGGGACGGGTGCCCTCAACACGCACAGCTCGTCCAGGGTCTTCTAAGGTTCCAGCCCCAGGCCCTGTGTCACCCCTGCTCTCACAGGTCAAAACGCAGCTGCAGGCCCAGACGGTGGCCGCGATGGCTGTGGGACACCAGCACCCTCACCAGGTGGGGACTGTCACTCCCCGGGGCTTCCCCGGCTGGGTGGGCTGGATGGGCCCCTGGGCGGGCAGGGGCCGCCCGGTGACCCTGTGCCCTCTCCCTGCAGAACGTCCTGGATGCCTTGGGGACCATCTGGCGGCAGCGGGGCCTGGCGGGGCTGTGGCAGGGTGTGGGTGGGGCCGTGCCCCGGGTCATGGTCGGCTCGGCTGCTCAGCTGGCCACCTTCGCCTCCGCCAAGGCCTGGGTGCAGGAGCAACAGGTAAGGAGCGGGGGACACCCGTGCCCCTTATCGCGCCTCCACATCTCCAGCTGGATCCCACGCAGGGAAGCCCAGGGGGTGGTGACAGGCCCCTTAAGAAAGCCGAGGGCCCTGACTCTGCCCTCAGGGCCGTGATTCTGGCCCTCGGGTCCAGCAAGAGTGGAGAGTCCGCAGTGAACCCTCCAGCTGTAAAGGAGCTCAGGGCGGCGGGGGGCGGGGGGGGGGGGGGCCGGGGGGGCCCCATCTGCCCCCCTTTCCCTAGCTCTTCCAGCCCCGAGGCGCTGAGAGGATGGGGTGGGCACCACGTGGGGGAGGGGGGAGGGCACCGCAGGGTTCAGCAGCCTGTATGTCCCCACAGTGGCTCCCAGAGGACAGCTGGCTGGTGGCCCTGGCCGGGGGCATGATCAGCAGCGTAGCTGTGGTCACAGTCATGACCCCCTTCGACGTGGTCAGCACGCGGCTGTACAATCAGCCTGTGGACGGAGCGGGCAGGGTGAGCAGGGGACAGAGTGGGGGAGGGCGTGGGAGCTGGACAGCATCCCCCAACACACACACACACGGCCAGAGACACGGAGAAGTGTGCCATACACACACACACACACACACACACACATTAATTCGGCTTGTTTGCTGAACACCTATGTCCCAAGCACGTACTAAGCATTTTCACACCTGGATTCTATTCTGTCCTCACAACAACTTTCGTTCTCCTGATGAGAAGACTGAGGCTCAGAGAGATCAAGTGACTTGCCTGAGGTCACACAGCCGGTAGGTGGGGGAGCCTGAACTGGAATCGAGTCCTGACCCCCCAGCCTCACAGGTGCACAGGGGCCATCACGTACACTGGTGCAAGGTGTGCCGAACACAGAGGTGCCCTCCACGGGCTGAGTTAGCGGTGAAATCCACCCGCGTGCCACTAACCAAGCTGAGCGCCTGGCCTGGGGCTGTGGCTGCCTGGAGGAAGAGGCCCTTTTTTAACTTTCACAGCCCGAAGGGTTACTATTATGTGATTTGCCGAGCTTGGGGGTGTGCCCTTTCTGATGTGCCACAGAAGCCCATACACACAGACACACCCCATTGTGCCAGCCAGGGCCCCATGACACCTGTAGTGATGTCTGCCCTGTGTCTGTCCCCAGGGCCGGCTGTATGGCGGCCTCGCTGACTGCCTGGTGAAGATCTGGCGGCAGGAGGGCCCCCTGGCGCTCTACAAGGGTCTGGGCCCCACCTACCTGCGCCTGGGTCCCCACACCATCCTCAGCATGCTCTTCTGGGATGAGCTCCGGAAACTGGCCGGGCGGGCCCAGCACCAGGGCAGCTAGGCGGCGTCCTTCACCCTGACACAGCCGTGCCCTTGGCAGGAAGCGACGGCCTGCTCCACCTGGGAATGGCCGTCCAGGAGCCCGCCCAGGCCCAGGCCCTGCCGCAGGTTCGGGGAGAGTGTAGACAGCTGTGGTCAACCCAGCCCCATGGCCCACCCAGGGCCAAAACGGATCCGCCTTGAATCACCACACACTCTGTTCTCCAGAAAGTTTCTCTTCCCTCTCTGTCCTGGGTAACCTTATCCCATTGTTATAATAACTGCTTCAGGCTGTGAACATTACCATGAGCTGGGCCACTTACGTGTGCCAGATCGCTTAGTCCTCACACAGTACGAGACGGTAAAATGCTCTGTTACTGATTCGGAAGCGGGGGCTCTGAAAGGTGAAGTGCTTTGACCAAAGCCACACAGCTTTGAAGGGGCAGAGAACCCAGCTCTGCCCAGCCCAGACCTGTGCCCTTGGCAAGAGCCAGGACCGTGGGTGCTGGGGTGCCCCTGAGGGATCACTATACATGTGGGGAGGCCCTGGGGAGCACCGTGAGGCCGTAATATCATCGTCTGTGCTAGACTGCCAGGGCCGCCATCATAGAGGACCTCAGACTAGGCGGCTTAAACAAAAGAACGTTACTTTCTCATAATTCTGGAGGCCAGATGTCTGATCAAGGTGTCGGCAGGGTTGGTTTCCTGTGAGGCCTCTCTTCTTGGCTTGCAGATGGCCGTCTTCTCCATGTCCCCACATGGTCTTCCCTCTGTGTGTCTGTGTCCTAGTCCCTTCTTATAAGGACACCAGTCATATTGGATTAGGATCCACCCTTAATGACCTCATGTTAACTTACTCATCAATACTTCCTTTGAGAATTGCTTTCTTTAGGACCCTGTCTCCAAAGAGTCACATTCTGAGGTTAGAACTTCAATATATGAATCTGGGGAGAGGGAGGGGACACAATTCAGCGCATCAACTGAGGGCTTTTACTGAGGGTCCCCTAGGTGCCCAGCACTGTGGACATTTGCCCAGATTCTCACGACAGTCCTGGAAGGTAGCGCTTGATGGTGCCCATTGTTCAGGTGGGCAGACTCAGGTCCCGGGAAAGGAAGTGACCTGCCCAAGGTAGTAGAGCTGGGCGACCTCATCCCAGGCTCTCTCCCCACGCTGCAGCCACCCTCCCACCATGGGCGTGTTCCTAAGGCCTGCACCGACCTTTGTGCTACAGAAGTGGATGCTGAGTCCCTGAAGGGGCAGGACTGGCGGAGAGGTCAAGCAGCCTGAACTACCTTCCCTGCCACACCCCATGTCTGCAAAGAGCTGCTCCCCGGGGCAGCCCTACTGCACACTCCAAACCAATAAAGTTTTCTATTTTGTCTACTTCAACGACTCCCCTCTGCTGGCAGCCTCAGTCTCCCGACCCCCGAACCCACGCCCTTGGCTCGCTCTCCTCGGTCTGAGAAAGGAGGATCCAAAAGAACTGGGGCGAGCCAGCCCCGCCCCGTCGGCCAAGTGAGGCCTGCCACCTAGTGGACACGGAGAGGATCGTCAAGGAGGGCTGCCCTACGGCGTAGGAGGGGAGGGCCCAGAGCTGGATCCCAGCCCCGGGCTGTGGCGGGAGAGACGCCCCCTTCCAGACCTTGGGCTGAGAGAGCAGAGCCTGACCTCAGGCTGTGGGGAGATCGAAGCCCCCCTTCCAGACCTTGGGCTGAGGGCGGGACCCAGACTGGAGGCTGGGGGAGGGCAGAAGAGGCGAGGCCTGGGGCTTCAGGAAGGGATGGGTGGCAAAGGCCCAGGGGTGGGTTGGTCTCTGTCCTGAGAAAAGCAGGACAGAGACCAGCCCACCCAGAGATGCCCCCCACCCCATGCTGCCCAAATGGGGAGACCCTGGGCAGCGGTCTTAACCCAGCAGCCCAAAGGTTTAAGGCCCTGGCTCTCCTCCCCTCCCCTTCCCTCCCTTCCCCTCGCCTGGGCTTTTGACCCCTCCCAGCCCCTCCCCTCGCCTCCACCACCTTTGCCCGGTGGTGGTGACGTTGCGGTGTCTCTGGCGCAGACCAGGCCGGAGGCTGGGGCTGGATCCTGGCGGCCATGTTCTCCCTGCTGTCCCTCCCCTTCTGGCTCCCCAGCCTCCCCTCCGTTGAGTGGGGCTCCGGCCTCCTCGACGCCCTCCTGCAAGGTGAGCCCCTCCCCCACCCCCCTCAGCCCCACCCGCTCCGGGGCACCAGCCCGGCGCAAGACGAACCCCACCCACGTGCGTCTCCCACCGCCCCCTCCTCTAACCCTACCAAGCTGCCTACCCTCCCTACTAACCCCGTCAGGCCTCGTCGGGGCCTGCGGAGTCTCCGTCCTGAACAACCTCCTGAAGGTCTACTTCTTCGTGGGCTGTACCAAGTGAGTGCCCGCCTCCCCGGCCCCCTCCCAGCCCCCTGGAGCCCACACTGCATGCGACTCTGGCCTCCTCCGAGGGCAGGACTGGGAGGGAGAGACCACCCGTCCTTAACCCCCAGGGTGTGGCTGGGGGCACCGTTACCCCCTCCAGGGACGAGGCTGGTGGTTCTGCTCCTCTGCCCGTGCCCCCTCTACCTCCACAGTGACCCGGAGCGGCGGCTTGAAAAGGAACGGCTGCGGGCCCAGTGGGCCTCGCTGGAGACCGTGCACCTGGCAGGGCTGGCCCTGATCCTGACTGTCGTGCAGGTCCGGGTGGCCGCCCTTGTGGTGCTCGAGTTCTCCCTCCGGGCTGTCTCCATGCTGCTTTCCCTGGACAAGGTAAGACCACAGGCAGGTGGTGGGTGAGGACTGCCCGGCCCTGGGCCCTAGTTTTCACCCCCAAATACAGGAAACTGGGCCCGGTTGTCATCGCCAAAGCCGAGTCTCCACTCAGAGTGGACACCACCCCAGTCCAAGAAGATAACACAGCAGCTCCCGGATGTCGAGAGCTTCCCGTGAGCCAGGCACGGTGCTATATGCTTTGAGTGCATCATCTCATCCTCAGAACCACAGGGGATAAAGGTCTGCTGTGATCCCGATCTCACACATGGGAAACTAAGGTTCAGAGATGCCGCGTGGCTTATCTGTGGCCAAAAACCAGCAAGAAGTAGAGTCGGGCTTTGAACCCAGGCCTCGAAGGCTTTGAGCCACCACCCTTCAGCAAGCAGATAGGTCCCAAGTAATAATCATGACTGAAATTAAGCTGAAAGAAATGATTCCAGTAGGGCTTGACCTGAAGGCAATATTCCCTCTTCGGGAACGGCCCCCCACAGAGTGGACCACCTGTACCTTGACACCCTCTGGGTCCCCGCGCGGTGAGGAGTGGGCTGAGCGCACACAATCGTGGCCCCTCTCTGCTCCCTCCCCCGCCCAGGGCACCCGGGGCACCGAGAGGCTGCAGCTGTACCTACTGTGCCAGTACTCGCTGGGCTGCGGGCTGACCTGCAGCCTGAGCTTCCTGCAGGAGGGCGCCCCGCACCGCACGCTGAACCTGCTGCTGGGCCTGGGACTGGCCGCGCTGCTCCGCTCGGGCACCCGGCGCCTCCGCCGCCACGTCTGCCAGCTCTACGAGCTGCACAGTAGCCAGCGCTACTGTGGGGTCTGCCTGGGCCTGCTGGCTGGCGCTTGCAGCCTCCCCCGGCTGCTGGGCCGTGCCCTGGCCGTGACCTTTGCAGTGGGCAACCTGGCAGCTGTGACCCTCCTCAACCGGGACTTCCTGACCACCTCGGAGGCTGTGCGTTTCTGGATGCCGCTCACCATCTGCTACACCCTGCTGGTCATCTACATGCAGGGTGAGGGTCGCGGGTGGCAGTTCATTCACTCGACACACACATCCCACCGTCTGACCCAGGCCCAGCGCTGTGCTAGGCCCTGGGGAGGCCGACGACACTCAGACCCTGCCCCTGCCATCCCAGGGCACCCAGCCTGCTAGCAGGGGCCACGCAGTGGGGCAGCTCAGATAAGGGTGCAGCGTGCAGGGGGAGCCTGGAGACACGGTACTTGAATTGCGCCTTGAAGGATAAGCAGGAGCCCCTGGGAGAGACGAGGGAGCAAAGGAGATCCTGGCAGAGGGAACCATAAATGCCAAAGCCCAGAAGTGAGACAAGGCGTGAAAACGGAGTGCTGTCGCGGAGGCAAGTGGAGCAGATGAGGCAGGGGCCTGATGGAGAGCTGTCATCATCCTGGCAAGGCAGTGTGATGAGAAGCCATTGCAGGGTTTTTTTTATTTATTTTATTTTATTTTTTTATTTTTTACTTTTTTGCGGTACGCGGGCCTCTCACTGTTGTGGCCTCTCCCATTGCGGAGCACAGGCTCCGGATGCGCAGGCCCAGCGGCCATGGCTCACAGGCCCAGCCGCTCCACGGCATGTGGGATCTTCCCGGACCGGGACACGAACCCGTGTCCCCTGCATCGGCAGGCAGACCCTCAACCACTGCGCCACCAGGGAAGCCCCATTGCAGGGTTTTAAGCAGGGGAAAGTGACCTGATCAGATCTGGGCTCTAGGAGGAGCCACCTGGCTGCAGGGTAGGGATGGGATGGAAGAGTCAGGACAAGGAAGGGCAGTCAGGCAGGCAGAACAGCAGGTACAAAGGCCCTGTGGTGGGAAGGAATCTAGCATGCTTGGTGAAAACTTGGATCACTGGGGCTAGAGAGCAAGGGGGACCAAGTCAGGGATGAGTTGAGGTCGGAGAGGGGACTCCGGTCACGTGGGGCAGGACCTCCCAAGGTGAGGAGTTTGGAGTTTATTCCAAATGCAGTGGGAAGCCCTGGGAGGATTGCAAGCAGGGGAGTGATTTCACCTCGTTAGTGTGTTGGGAAGGCTACCGGCTGCTGAGTACGTGCTGAGTTGTAGGGTCAAGATCAGGAGACGGGAGCCCAGCGAGGAGCCTGCTGTGAGAGATGAAGGGCGCTGGGACCCAGATCTACTTGGTAGAAAGAGCTCATAGGGCTTCCTGATGGACCGGACGAGGGAGTGCAGGAAAGAGAAGTCAGGACACCTCCTGTCCTGACTGCAGGGGGAGACTGGGGGTGGGCAGTGAGGCCTGGGAGGAAGAAGCACCCCTGTAGTTGCTGGGAGTGGGTGTGGGGTGAGAAGGAAGGGAGCCGGGCTGCCTGGGGAGGGGAAGGCACGCGCTGAGGGGAGCGGCGGGGGGAGCTGGGGGTTCCAGACAACCGACTCGGCTGGACCTCAGGGCAGGCAGACAGGCGGACGGTGACAGGGACCGTGTCTCTGCAGAGGAGCGGCAGCAGCATCCCGGCCTGCAGAGCCAGGTCCAGACGGTGCTGGTACGCATGTGCGGCCTCTTTCTGCTGCTGCTGACCGTGGGCCGCTGGCTGGACCTCGTGGGCATCTTCACTTCCCTGCTGGGCGAGTTCTGGTGCCTGCTGGACACCCGCACCCTGTTTGATCTTTGCCAGATACAGGTGGGCACCCCCTCCCTGAACGTGCCCCAGACACTGAAGCCCCACTCCAGACAGCCCTGGGAGCCTCGACAAGTTTTCAGAAGAGCCGGGTGACCTCCCTTGGGGTGGGGGTCGGAGACAGCTGAAATCCCCTCTCCTACCTGGGGTTAACTTTTGACCCCTCGGTAGCCAGGGTCACTAGGAACGCGGCGGGCGCCCCCCACCCTATCCAGTGCCCCAGAAGACCCCGAACGGGAGGAAGGTCCTGAAAATCGGGAGGCTGAGGCTCCCCTGCGGGATGGGGGAACTGAGTGGCACCCTCCATCCCTTCCTCCCTGCCTGCCCTCAGGATTTTCCATCCCAGAGGCCTTCCGCGTCAGCTCCAAGCCAGCCCCGGCCCTCGGCGCCTGCCCAGCCGCAGGGGACGGCCCCCTCCTGACTTGCCTCAGCAAGGACCCGGAGTCTCTCAGAGCCGCCCGGGCTCACCTGGAGGCCTTGACCCCAGGATACTGCCTGGCGGCAGAACGGCAGGGCTGCCCCCCACCTGGAGCACTGGGGGCCCCCGGGAGGGAGGAGAGGATTTGGGGCTGGGCCCCTCAGAGGGTGGGGACGCATGGAGGCTCCTGGGTTAACCCTCTTTTTCTCAGGGTGGGCAATGGATACAGCCCCTCAGTCCTGCCTTCCCGGAGCGTTGTGGGGTGGGGAGAGATTGTATCCTCAGAATGGCTTCCTCCTTTACCAACCTCCCTTGCCCTGTCCACAAACAGTAAAGGTGATTCTCTCAGATTTGTCTCAGAATCGTGAAGACACAGAGAGGTGAAGAGGCTTTTCTAAGGCCACAGAGCTCTCTGACTGAGGCAGGCTCCTGGGATATGGGCCAGCTGGGTCCCTGGGGTTCAGGAATTTAATATCGTTGTGGCTGAGGACATGACCGGGATGCAGTGGCGTGGATGGGCACGTGGTCTGGGACTCACCTGCTTCTTGGGTGGATGTCCCATCCTAGGCTAAGAAACAACTGGAGCGAGTATGATGCCTAGGCCTCTATTGGTGCCCTTGGTCCCCAGCCTCTGACCCTGACACGAGGATCCTTCCCGCCTCAGCCCTGTTCAGCCTTGTATCCCCTGCAGGGCCCAGCTCATGAAGGCCACAGAGTATATGGAAAAAGGTTGGGTACCAGCTCCCCTGCTTACCTGCTGTGTGGCCTTGGGTAGGCCTCTGCCCCTCTCTGAGCCTGTCAGAAGAACAACTACCATGTGTTGGGCACTGCGCTGAGCATTTTTATTATCTCATTTCATTTTAACGTCAGCCCCAAGAGGCAGGTACTCTTATCCCTTTTTAGATTCAGAAACCGAGGCTCAGAGAGACTAAGTAACTTGCTCAAGGACACACAGCTAGTTAGTGGCAAGACAGGATTTGAATCAGGTAGCCTGACCCGCAGAGTTCAAGTGCCGTGCATGTTCCCTGCTCCCCACTTCTTGTTGAAGAATTGGGGCCAGGGAAACTAACAGAGGTGGGCGTAAAAAATATGGCAGGTCCATTCCTGGTAGGTTCTGGAATGTTGTTCCCACCACCTTCTGTCCAGGTTAGCCTGAGGCTCTACCCACACCCATGTTCTCCTGGCCCAGGCACCCAGCCCACGAGGTAGTTTGTGTCCATGGGGATTGAGGGCCCCAACTCAGAGGCCCTTTCCCAGGAGGGACCCCATAGAGCAAAGGAGACTGCCAGCCAGGGGGCTTCCAAAGGGGTTGTGAGGGTCAGGTTGTCTGGGAGAGGCAGGGGAGGCAGCAGGGAGGAGGTGGGACCTAGAGAAGGTTCTTTGAGGATTCCAGGCTCTAATGGGTCCCACTTCTCAGCAAAGCCCACCGTGGTCACCCGAAGTCTACTGCTTTGGAGCAGACAGAGTCTGGCCTAAGATTCCACTCCCCACCCTGGGTGCACCTGAGATACAGGGACAGGCTGGCCCCAAGGCCGGACGGGGCGGTTTCAGCTCATTCCTCCAGGAATGGCCACCAACAGACAGTTCGAGCCCAACTTCTGATCCCCTGCTCTCCATCCCACCCCCAGGAGGCGCCTTTCAGCCCCAGAGTAACTGAGGTGGGGGAAGTGTCTGTGGATGCCCCTCCCCCAATACAGAACCCAGCCCCCCTCTGCCTGGGTGTGTGCTTGGTTCCCTCTGGGCAGGAAACTTGCCCCAGTCTAGGAGGAAATGGCTCAGTTAGGTGAGCACAAGGCCAGCCCCTTGCCAGAGCCAGACTTGACACTGGGTTCCAACTCGGGCCTGATGTTTTTGCTGGAAGGTTCCCTGGCCTCCCAGCACCCCACACAGCCCGGGACCCGGTGGGGACAGGGCTGGGAGGAGATTGGACTTGGCAGTCCTTTCCTTTTTATGGGCACAGGGACTGTTTTCCAAACAAAAATTGGGCCACGTGGGCTGGAATAGTATTCTTTTCTTATCTATTAAATTATTTTTGTGAAAAATCTGACAAGGGTATAAAAATTAGATCACTCTAGTGAGCCCTACCAAACAAAGAGAACTAGGCCTGAAGTCCAGAGGGTAGAGGAAATCGAAAAGGTACGGTCTGCAACAGGGGCATGAAGCTGAACTTGTTCTGCCACGGACCATGAGATCCCAGATCCTGGGCCTGAAACAACATCCTTCTGAAGAGGTGGGAAACCCGAGCCCCAGTCCCTGCTGAGAGGGAGTGGTACCTCCGGAGCACCTGGGATTGGGGTGAGCCTTCCTCCTCCCTCCTGAGCCCCCGCACCTGTGGGTTTTCTGAGCTATGGCATTGTCCCTCTTGATGTCCTGCATTCCTTCCCCTATCGCTGAACATCTGCATGGGGTGAGGCTCTGGGGCAAACACTGAGGATGAGCAAGAGGCACAAGTAACGACTGGTGCTGGGAAAAAAAAAAAAAAAGTTGGGCATGGGGATAGAGTGACAGGGGTGAAGGAGGGTGTATTTGTTATCTACAGCTATGTAGCAAATGACCCTGAAACAGCAGCGTAAAGCAACAGACACTTATCGTCTCGCTTTTTCTGGGGGTTGGGAATCCAGGTGCAGCTTGGCTGGGTCTTCTGGCTCAGAGTCTCACAGGCCACAGTCAAGGTGTCACCCAAGGCTGTGATGTCATCCGAAGGCTCGACTGGAGCAGGCTCCACTTCCAGTCCCACTCACGTTGCTGTCGGCAGGATTCAGTCTATCACGGGCTAGTGGACCGAGGGGCTCAGTTCCTCTCTGGCTATTGGCCAGGGTCTCCCTCAGTTCCTTGCCACGTGGGCCTCTCCATAGGGCAGCCCACGACATGGCAGCCAGCTTCCCTCTGTGATGCAAGTCAGGGAGACAGACAGAAGATGAGCAGGACAGAAGTCACCGTCTTTGTAACCCCGTGTTAAAAGCGACATCCCACTCTTTTGCTGTATTCTATTGGTTAGAAGCAAGTCGCTGGGTCTAGCCCACCCTTTAGAGAAAGGGATTACACAAGGGCATGGCAGAGGGTGGGGGTTCTCAGGGGGCCGTTTTAGAAGCTGCCTTCCACAGAAGGCTTCTTTGAGGAGACCTGAATGGACTGCAGGAGCAGGCCAAGCGGAAAGCTGAGGGAAGAACACCCCAGGCTGAGAGAACGGCACCGGTAAAGGCCCTGAGCGGGGAACAAGCTGGGAGAATCCAGGAACAGCAGGAAATTTAGCATGGCTGGAGTCTCACAGAGAGGATGGAGTGGTGGGAATGAGGTCACAGAGGTGGGCAGGGACCAGATTGCTCAGGGCCACAGCCAGCATTAGGAATTTATTCCCCTGTGATGGGCAGCTAGTGGAGGGTTTGCACATGGAGGTGACATAATCTCACTTTTACGTTTTTATTTTTTATTTTATTTATTTATTTATTTTTTTTGCGGTGCGCGGGCCTCTCACTGCTGTGGTCTCTCCCGTTGCGGAGCACAGGCTCCGGATGCGCAGGCTCAGTGGCCATGGATCAGGGGCCCAGCTGCTCCGCGGCATGTGGGATCTTCCCAGACCGGGGCACGAACCCGTGTCCCCTGCATTGGCAGGCGGACTCTCAACCATTGCGCCAGCAGGGAAGCCCTGACTTTTACATTTTTAAAGGATTCCTCTCCTTGCTGTTTTTAGAATAGATAGTGTAGAAACAGTAAACCAGTTTGAAAGCATTTGAAACAACCCAGATGAGAGCACGGGGGCTTGGACCAGGGTGGTGGCTGTGGAGGTGGCCAGGGTGGTTGGATTCTGTTTTGAGAGATTGATAAGATTTCCTGGTCAATTAGATGTGGGCTTGAGAGGAAGAGAGGAATCCTGGGAACTCTTTGATTTGGGACCTGAGCAACTGGGTGAATGAGATGAGGGCCTCCAGGGTCGGAGCAGGGTTACCTCAAGCATGTGTGGTCAGCATCAGTGGAGGGTCCAGGTGTTGTGAGGTGTGTGATGTGGTCTGGAGTTCAGAGAGACCTCGCTGACAAAGAGCTGCAGAAACCAATCCTGAAGGTTGAGGGGGAGTTCCCAGGACATGGGGTGGTGGTGAAGCCCAGGCAGGTCTCAAGGCTCCTGAGTGGCCTGAGGGATGGAGGAGGGGTTGGGTCAGTGTGGCTGGAGCCCAGGAGGCAACGGGCACAGTGGTGGGAGATGCTGTCACGGAAGTGGGCTGGGGCCAGATCGCCAGGACAGGGGAGGGGTTTCGCATTTTCCCCAAGAGCAGCGGGAGCCACAGAAGGGGTGTCGGGGCGTGTGATGATCACGTGCTGCTTTAGCGAGATGGCCTGGCCGGCTTGGAGAGTGGATCGCAAGGAGTAAGAGCAGGGCGAGTCCAATTTTAAGGGCCTCCTTTAGGGACTTCCCTGGCGGTCCAATGGTTAGGACTCCGCACTTCCAAGGCAGGGGGCGCAGATTTGATCACTGGTCAGGGAACTAAGATCCCACATGCCGCATGGTGCAGCCAAAAAAAAAAAAGAAAGGGTCCCCTTTAGAAAAAAGCATACAAAATTCATATGAAAGTGAATATTGATTGAGAATGGGAAAGAAAGGCAGGACGAGATGCTGAAACCCTGGAGATTTGGGTCCTTCTTCTGACATCTCTGTGGGCAGTTTGCCGGGAACACTTAGAGAGAAATGTTTCCTGAGTGTAACCTGGCTGCCCCTCCCTCCTACAACACTTCATTACTTCCAGAGACCCCCAGTCCTCACAGGGGCCGTGCAAGTGAGAGGCCTGAGCATAAGTTTCATTAACTTCACAGTAAGCCCACCTCTGCGGAAGAGAGAAGCGGGGAGGCCGGCGAGGGGCCCTGGCAGGGTATAGGCCAAATTACACTTCAGCAAGGAGGCGTCTCAGGGATGGGGGTCCTCAGTGCCAGAGAGCAGTGAGGTGTTGGATAGATGCTGCCAGGGGTGGAGGCTCGTAGTGAAGCGGGAGCTCAAGGAGGGGCCTGGGTTCGGTGGGGGAACGGGGCTCTGCCCCTGGCAAGCAGCTGAGGGCTTGGGGCAGGCTCAGGGACCCTCCCAAGTGAGTGATGCCAGGACTTCCTTTCCTCTGTCCACAGAAGGGGCTCTGACCTTCAAGGCCTGGGTCAAGGACGGGCCTTTCCAGCTTACTGAGACTCACGCCCTGCCATGGCCACCCCACACGTCCCGCCCCTCATCGTGAAGGCTGTGCAGGTGTGCTTAGTTGAGGGGGGGCTGTGGGAACCAGGGGGTCCAGCCAGAGCCAGCTCAGGACACTGGACCGGGAGGGGATTAAGAGCCAGAGGTTGTTGTCACGGCCAGGTCTAGAGGCTGGGCC